ACTCCTGTCATCCAAGTGCTAAATCCCCAGGAAGAAGGAGGAAAGCTCATTGTTTTTCATGCACAGCAGATCATTTATCAGAACTCATCTCCTCTGGCCTCAAAACTGAACCACTTTGCAAAAGAAAGAGAACCTGGACCAAAGCACCTTGCAAGGAAGCACTTGGGAACATGGAGACGCACACAATGTAAGGAACACGGAGATGCACACGGAGACGCACACGGTGTAAGGAACACAGAGATGCACACGGAGATGCACACAGTGTAAGGAACACGGAGACGCACACAGTGTAAGGAACACGGAGACGCACACAGTGTAAGGAACACGGAGACACACACGGTGTAAGGAACATGGAGATGCACACGGAGACGCACACAGTGTAAGGAACACGGAGACACACACGGTGTAAGGAACACGGAGATGCACACGGAGACGCACACAGTGTAAGGAACACGGAGACACACACGGTGTAAGGAACATGGAGATGCACACGGAGACGCACACAGTGTAAGGAACACGGAGACACACACGGTGTAAGGAACATGGAGATGCACACGGAGACGCACACAGTGTAAGGAACACGGAGATGCACACGGTGTAAGGAACATGGAGATGCACACGGAGACGCACACAGTGTAAGGAACACGGAGACACACACGGTGTAAGGAACATGGAGATGCACACGGAGACGCACACAGTGTAAGGAACACGGAGATGCACACGGTGTAAGGAACATGGAGATGCACACGGAGACGCACACAGTGTAAGGAACACGGAGACACACACGGTGTAAGGAACATGGAGATGCACACGGAGATGCACACAGTGTAAGGAACACGGAGACGCACACAGTGTAAGGAACACGGAGACGCACACAGTGTAAGGAACACAGAGATGCACACGGAGACGCACACGGTGTAAGGAACACGGAGATGCACACGGAGACGCACACGGTGTAAGGAACACGGAGACGCACACGGTGTAAGGAACACGGAGATGCACACGGAGACGCACACAGTGTAAGGAACACGGAGACGCACACGGTGTAAGGAACACAGAGATGCACACGGAGACGCACACGGTGTAAGGAACACGGAGATGCACACAGTGTAAGGAACACGGAGACACACACGGTGTAAGGAACACGGAGATGCACACGGAGACGCACACAGTGTAAGGAACACGGAGATGCACACGGTGTAAGGAACACGGAGACGCACACGGTGTAAGGAACATGGAGATGCACACGGTGTAAGGAACACGGAGATGCACACGGTGTAAGGAACACGGAGACGCACACGGTGTAAGGAACATGGAGATGCACACGGTGTAAGGAACATGGAGATGCACACGGTGTAAGGAACATGGAGATGCACACAGTGTAAGGAACACGGAGACGCACACGGTGTAAGGAACATGGAGACGCACACGGTGTAAGGAACATGGAGACGCACACGGTGTAAGGAACATGGAGATGCACACGGTGTAAGGAACATGGAGATGCACACGGAGACGCACACGGTGTAAGGAACACGGAGATGCACACGGTGTAAGGAACATGGAGATGCACACGGTGTAAGGAACATGGAGATGCACACGGTGTAAGGAACATGGAGACGCACACGGTGTAAGGAACATGGAGATGCACACGGTGTAAGGAACATGGAGACGCACACGGTGTAAGGAACACGGAGATGCACACGGTGTAAGGAACATGGAGATGCACACGGTGTAAGGAACATGGAGATGCACACAGTGTAAGGAACACGGAGACGCACACGGTGTAAGGAACATGGAGATGCACACGGTGTAAGGAACACGGAGACGCACACGGTGTAAGGAACATGGAGATGCACACAGTGTAAGGAACATGGAGACGCACACGGTGTAAGGAACATGGAGACGCACACGGTGTAAGGAACATGGAGACGCACACGGTGTAAGGAACATGGAGACGCACACGGTGTAAGGAACATGGAGATGCACACAGTGTAAGGAACATGGAGACGCACACGGTGTAAGGAACATGGAGACGCACACGGTGTAAGGAACATGGAGACGCACACGGTGTAAGGAACATGGAGACGCACACGGTGTAAGGAACATGGAGACGCACACAGTGTAAGGAACATGGAGACGCACACGGTGTAAGGAACACGGAGACGCACACGGTGTAAGGAACACGGAGATGCACACGGAGACGCACACGGTGTAAGGAACATGGAGACGCACACGGTGTAAGGAACACGGAGACGCACACGGTGTAAGGAAACTCACGCCGAGTGGCCAATGACTCCCCGATCCTGCTGCTTCCCCACCCTGACCTGTGAAGAGGCCCTGCCTGGAAAGGTAGATGGAACTAAGAGATGGCAGAGCAGCCTGGCAGGAGGTGGTCCATTCTGATATAGACCCAACTGAGCACTGGGACACTCTACACGGCACCACACTGACCAGTTGTAAAGAAAAACCAAACGTGCAAAGGAGTCGGCTCATCCTAGCAGAGGGTAGACTTTAAAACAGGGGTGTGCTTAAAACGGAATTCATCGTGAGCAGTTTCAGGGGCTGAAGTCTTAGTCGCTTGATCGAAGTGGGATGGTGTAGGCTTTGTTTATCCTAAACTCGGACGCGCCGAAGGGGAGGAAGATTCATCTGATAACAGCCTCACTGTTTCTCATCGGACGGATGCAGAAAGGCCGCAGGGCTGCGACAGACAACGCCCGGTGGATTATCAGCAAGTGATGAACCACCTGGACACTGACGCCATCAAATAGATGGCTCTAAAAATGACCAGGGCGTCTTTAGCCAAAACTTAGGCGCAAGTGTCTCTGTCTTGGTCTTCTCTGCAAGGAGCGGAAACACTGTCATATTTGGTGAAATTTAATCTTAATAGGAGAACTTCAGCTGAAGCTGCTCCATCCCTTCCACTTAGCAAAATGAAACACGAGACATTCATTTGCATTCTAAGGGGAGGAGGTGACATGTGGATAATATTTTCAATTCACAAAACAGTTAAAAATCCAAGAGTAGAGTTACCGAGCATTTGAAAAAGAAATGTCCGTCACGGATTTGTATTTGCTCATTGTGCACTCTTTTTAATTAAAAGTGATGGGAAACATTTGTTGCTCATCCTTCTTTCTGTTAAATAATTGAGCAAGTGGTTATTTTGTCTTCGGATGGAAAGATCATTGTCTCTAAATTCTTATGATCGAATAGAATAAAGTCGAGCTGTTTTTGCAATTGGTAGAGAAGAACAAGGAATTCCTCTTGGAGTGTCTTGTCTTAACACTTTGCGTTTGTCTGATTAAATAAAAATGTCAAAAAAAAAAAAAAAAAAGATACAGCGACATATCTCCCAAAAAGGCATCTACAATCTTAGCATCTAAAGACAGCTTCCATGAACATTTTTGCAGTATACAAATGTATACCTATATATGTGACACGGAAGTACTTTGCAAGTGTATTTTTTTAATTAAAGAATACACATTATATAATGTGTGTTTGTATATACACACATGCACAGATTTTTTAATGGAGTTAAGCTACATGGGTTCTTTTGAGTACAGCCTTCTTTTTTTAGAAATACAGTAAGGCATTTTCATCCCCAAATTAACAGGTAAGGTTCTTGTCTCATCATTTATTTAACTTAGCATATATTATTGAGTATTCAATTTGTTTCCAACCGTTCACCATGACAAACAGAACACACCTTTGAATTAAAATCGAAGTCACACACAAATATGATAGATTGTATTTAGACGGCTTTATACTGCGAGTTAGAAATACCAGAAAAATGTTCCAGTAGGTCATGATACTTTGTAAACCTTTGAAAATGCAATTTCACTTGGCATCACGGACCAATAGTCCGTATTTCTTTTGGAGTCATTAAAAGGTAGAGAGGGGTGTCTGTATTTATCATGCTGACTTCCACAGCGAAGCGTCCGAAGCTATACTTGGGGGACGGGGGGTACCAAGGCTGGATCTCAGGTGCACAGTTGCTTCAGTCTGCTCGGTCTTTCCCATTGGAGGCGAGCTCTCCGGGACCTGGGCGTGGCAGCCTCCCTGGGAAGTTCCAATCGCGTGATTGCTCATTCCTGCCTCTTCTCCCTCACCTGGCGAGATCTCCACCCAACATCTCCTCTAATTTGGCTGAAAATGTCAGAATATTTCCTGTCAGTCTCACTTTGATTGTAATCGTGCCTCTGTTTTTAAACACCTGAGCAAGTAGACACAGTGCTCACTGAGAGCTTTGAATTCTGTGATCTTGAATTTTATGCAGTTCTTTGTTCTTCTCTCTGCTGGAAATGTTGATGATCAGGAACGCTAGGCACTGTTTCCATAAAGACACCTGGAAAGCCATGGCTGGCTTGGCTCAGCAGTTCGAGTGTCAGCCCTTGGACCAGAGGGTCAAGGGCATGTACCTGGGTTGCGGGTTCGATCCCCAGCCCTGGTCAGGGTTGTGTGGGAGGCGGCCACTTGTATCTCTCTCACATCAACGTTTCTCTTTCTCTCTCTCTCCCTCTCTCCCTCTCTCCTTCCCTTCCACTCTATTAAGAAAAAAAAAATCAATGGAAAAATATCTCAGCTGAGGATTAACAAACAACAACTGGTACTTCAAATAACACACATATTGACTATAGTATTTTAAACTAAGTGTATCAATACAGTATTGAGAAATGTTTTAGCTTTTGGACATCAAGAATTTTTCACTGGGTTGTGTAAAACTATTGATTCATTGTAGTACTTAATATAAGGAAAAGGCACTTCCGGTTTTTGTCAGTTCTATTGCGTAACATATTTTTGAGTCCGTTTTGGAGATTTGCAAACAAAACTGATGCTTTTTGAATGTTAAACCTACAGACTAGAATAAAAGCAGTGTGTGCTTGTTAGGCATCGATATTATTAAAGCATGGCTTTTAAAATGCTGACAGTTTAGTCGATCATATTTGATTTTTTTGTTACTTAAAATACTTTTTGAAGTACTTAGCAAAAAATGCATACCTTTACAAAATTTGTCCAGCTTTCGAATATGCTTTTCCATACTTGGAGAAGAGATCAAATGATGGTAATACAGTCTGGAAATCCTAGAAGGAAAGAGAGAAAAGATTAGCACAGAGCTCTGACTGACTTTGTATTATTATTATTATTATTATTGGTTTTAAATCTATATAACAATAATTAATTTAATTTTCAAAAGAGGAAATGAAATGGTTAGTTTTACTTAAATGATCTTAGATTAAACATTTTTATATGTATTAATTATATTTAGTGTTTAATGTAATAAACAATTTTAACATATAAAATAACTCATTTTTAAAATGTACATTCCATGGACACAGATAACAGTATGGTGATTGCCAGAGGGAGGTATAAGAAGGTGAAGGAGCCCTGGCCGGTTTGGCTCAGTGGTTAGAGCGTCGGCCTGCGGTCCAGAGAGACCCGGGTTCGGTTCCCGCTAAGGGCCCGTACCTCGGTTGCAGTTTGTCCTCGGCCCTGGTTGGGTCGTGCGGGTGGCAACCACTCGATGTGTCCCTTTCACATCGATGTTTCTCTCTCTCTCTCTCTCTCCCACTCTATCTGAACAAAAAATGGAAACATGTTCTTAGGTGAGGATTAAAAAAAAAAAAATTAAAAGAAGGTGAAGGAGGGATAAATGGTGATGGAAGGAGACTTGACCTGGGGTGGTGAACCCAATACAATAGACAGATAATACACAGGTTTGTATACCTGAAACCTGCACTTCATTAACCAATGTCACCCCAACCAATTCAACTTTTAAAAAATTTTAAAAACAAAATGTACATCTTAATTTTTGACTTTTACATTTACTTCAATTTGATTTGGGTGAAAAATATATTCAAATTGTATATGCTTTAAAAACAGTGAATGCGTAGAGTAGGAAAAAAAGACAATAGGCTTCATAGTCGTGTCAATAAAGAAGGATCGATTATCCTTCAGTCCCTAAACGAAAACCAGAAATTCTCGATCACTCTGATTTTTTAACTTAAAACCCTGCATTCTTACTTGGCCCCAGTCAGTCAATAACTGCTACTTCCCTGCGACACAGGAAGACGTGGCAATGCCATTAAGACGGCTTTGGTTTGCGGACATCTTGGCGCTGACTCTCGGTTGGGTAAAAGGTGCCTGTGGTTCAGAAAGCAGGCCACGTGGCCATGGGAGCAACTGGGAGTTCAAGGAAAGCACCTTCGTGACCCGTGCACTGTGCTACTGTCGGAGTGGGGGCTGGGGATGCTCTTCTGCAAACCAACCTGTGCAGACAGAATGCTGGGGATGCAACGCCAGACCCTGCTGTAGCCCCTGCTCGCCGGAGCACACGGCTTTCTGTTCGGGTGCCCAGCCAAACACAAATAATCCGCTGCCCAAATGAGCTCCTTGGGACACTTTGGGAGTCTTTGGGAGTGAACGGCTCTCTGAGCTGGAATGCAGCCCAGGTCTATTTCAAACCCAACTCACAATGAAAGAGCAGATTTCCTGGGCCACTCACCCCGAGTGTATGATGGCTTTGTGTTGGCAGCTGCCCTGTTTCTCTAGTTATTTAAGGCTTTGGGGTACACGTTCCTACTTTTATTTCAGTGTGGGTGCATCTAAATGCTGAAGTTATATATTGGAGTTTCTATTGATTTTCTTTTTACATTTTTATAAAGCTTCTTCTTAATAGCTTCATCTGTCTTTCTCTTACCTAGCTCATGTCCCCGTCCATCTTTATGGCCGTGCTACAACGGCACAGGTGGGAAACAGCGGGTCGGACACGCCGACCGAAACGTGCAAACGCACTGTGTCGTGGTGTTCGTGCACCGTCATCATCATAAAAGGGATGCCGAGCCATGAAGACAGACCAGGAGGAATCGATGTAGATATAGAGAGGCACATCTAAAAGGTGGCCTTAATTGCAACCAAAAATAATAAGAATGTCATCTAAATAAAAGTCACTGAAATGGAACATCCGACTAGCTCCAACGTAGTTGATTTGATAACAGAGCGAATGATACCAGGGTAAGAGGTTCCAGGAATAGTATTGTCATGATCAGAGACAGCCCACTGTCCACAGGGGGAGGCTGGGTGAAGCGGGGAATGCTGAGGCCGCAGTTTGGGCTCACATATGGTTGGTGCCCAGGGCACTGGGCTGTAAAACCCTTTGGAGGTATCAGAATGGCTTAAAGGGAACCACTTAGAGCAGGAATAACAACTGAAAGTGAGATTATGACTATTCCAAAACACGAAGTGTTTCTTAGCGGGAAATAAACTGAATGCCAGTAACTAGGTACTCCAAGAAAATCCTCCAGAGGGGGGTTAATGCTAGAACACAGGTGTCACATAGCGCTCACAGTTGTAGTCCTAGGGTTTAGTCCGTGTCTGGTACAAAGTAGACGCTTGATAAATATCACGTGGCCGAAGGAGTGACTGGAGAATGAATGAACGGACGTGGTCCTGGGGAAGCATGAACCTGTCCTAAGTTGGAGAGGCTGAGCCTCCTAGAACAGCACACCCTTACTCTCTCATCCAACTGCATCATCACTCTAGAAGCCAAGCGAAGGAGGTGAAAACTGTACGCCCCGGACTCCATCATCAAGAGGGTCTTCCCAAGGTCACTCCATGGTCCAAAATCTTTTCTTTTCCAGCTAGTAGATGTATGCCCAGTTCCCTCTCTGTGCCTCCAGTAACGCGAGTCTGTAAGTATTTGGAGGAGAGACCGCAAAATTGGGGGGGGGGGTTCTATGAGGAATGAGGAGGGGAGCCTCTGTCTCGTCTGTTGTATTGGAGCTCCCCTCAAAGTGCCAGACAGATGTCATGACTCCATAAATCTTGGCTGAATAGAAAAATAGGACTTCTCATTGTGACACTGTTTTGCAAGGACAATAATGCAAACTAATAATTCATCAGTAAACAGGCTACAACGATGTGTTCAATGATGACTTCATAAGAACACCGTTACCATCGATCCTCATCACTCAGATCTCTAATGTGCGAGCTCACCTACTGGCTAAAATTTACTTGTAGCCCCAGAATCAATACTCATGTGCCTTCTCAGGCGTTTATAGACAGGGGCAGAACAGTGAGAAATCGGGGTCACCCGGCGCACCTCTCCAGCAGAGGCCTTGCTCTCCCAGCTCTGCTCTAGTTAGTCCCGCATTTTCCACGCTAAGTTCTTCGTGTTGGTGATGTCACTGTGTAACACGGACCCAGGCAACTGCTGAAGTGCTGTCTCGTGACCCTACGTGTAAGAAGGCCGCCGTGGGCCTACAGGGACTGTGTGCCTGTGCTGGAGAGCCTTCGTTCTGGCAGGAGCGACCGTGCAATCGGCAACAATTCGCTGGCAATGAATCAACGATGTCGGTTCAATAAAGGGCCTTTACACAGGGACACACAGAGCAGTGTTAAGTATTGATCAGTGGCACGCACAGAGCAGTGTTGAGTATTGATCAGTGACACGCACAGGGCAGTGTTAAGTATTGATCAGTGGCACGCACAGAGCAGTGTTAAGTATTGATCAGTGGCACGCACAGAGCAGTGTTAAGTATTGATCAGTGGCACGCACAGGGCAGTGTTGAGTATTGATCAGTGGCACGCACAGGGCAGTGTTAAGTATTGATCAGTGGCACGCACAGAGCAGTGTTAAGTATTGATCAGTGGCACGCGCACAGGGCAGTGTTAAGTATTGATCAGTGGCACGCACAGAGCAGTGTTGAGTATTGATCAGTGGCACGCACAGAGCAGTGTTGAGTGTTGATTAGTGACGCGCACAGGGCAGTGTTAAGTATTGATCAGTGGCACGCACAGAGCAGTGTTAAGTGTTGATTAGTGACGCACACAGGGCAGTGTTAAGTATTGATCAGTGGCACGCACAGAGCAGTGTTGAGTATTGATTAGCTGACCAGAAGCTTGCAGGAACCCCACCCTGCATCTCCCGTAGGAGCCACGGTTCAGGAAGGACTAAGTCGGTGCTCTCCGAGACTCGACAGGTTAGTAACCACTGCAGATGCAGGATCTGGGTACCTGCAGTCGAGCTGAGCTCCGTCATGACACATTCACGGCTGCGGACACGCGCACATTCCACCAGAACATTGCAGGCGTCCCGCCTCCCAGGGCAGCGACACTGAACAGACCATGAGTGAGAACATGAGCCCAGAGACCCACGTACCCTTGGCTACTCTCTACGGGGCGGCGGTAACAGCTCTTCACGAACACCAACTATGGATAGATAACAACTTGAAATTTAGCTTTATGAGACACAGTTTTCTTTCAAATAAGATAACGTATACATGAAGTTTTAATAGAAAGACTTCTCATAACCCTATTCTAATCCTAGATTTTCAGAGTATCAGCAGGAATTATCATGTTTCATTTCTTTGGGTTCATTTTTAAGAACTGGTTTTGAGCCCAGCCGGTGTGGCTCAGTGGTTGAGCGTCGACCCTGCACCAAGAGGTCGCCGGTTTGATTCCCATTCAGGGCACATGCCCAGGTTGTGGGCCTGATCCCCAGTGGGGGGCATGCAGGAGGCGGCCAATCAATGTTCTCTCTCATCGATGTTTCAATAAAGAAAAAATGAAGAAAGAACTGGCTTTGAAACATCCTTCCCTTCTTCCCTTCTTCCCTCCTTCCTCCCTAAAAGCATTAACCGAGTTGTGCTTATGCCAAGTACTGTCCTGGGATACGGCAATAAACAAGTTAGGCGAAAACTCCTGTCTTCAAGGACATTAAACTCCCCGTGAGCAGGCAGACAGACAGCGGAAAGGTGTCAGGAGCGGTAAGAACCGCGATCCAGGGTGCGGGAGGGCCGGCGGCAGGCAAAGGCCAGCTGAGTCACGGCAGGTGTCCAGGGAGGCCGCTCCATGCTGATCGAACCACAGCCACACTGCTGTCACCACACCACTCGCGGCACCCCGAGTGACCAAGCCACGGACTGGTGTGCTCTAGGGTTTCTGGAGGGCGGACGGGTTCCAACATCTGGGACCTGCAAATCCGTTGGCTCTGGGGCTGGGGCCGTCGGGAGCACCAAGCCCTGCAGGAGGACCCTTCCTCTGCAGCAGCACGGATGCCCGCGGAGGCCTTGTCGGTGGGCAG